GAGGCTTTCCACCCCTGTAAACATTTATAATCTTGGAAATCCACAGGCGCAGTTTTCTTCCATCCGGTAGGGTTACTACGAATGGGAATCAATTTCATGGTGGTGAGTTTTTCCCTTTTCTCTAGGTAGAAAAGCCTGACAAGATTAGTTTGGGGCCCTCTGACCAATGTAGTCAGGACATGACTCAATCATGTGGACCCTCGTCCTCCAAATTCCACAGGGGCATACTCAGGCCAGTCCCTGAGGGTAGAAGGCCCCTCCCTGGACTACCTTGGGGGTGGTAGTTATCTCTTTCAAACATACTCTGCCTGAGGGCAAGGCTGTTCATATTGCTGGTTAACTGGCAGAAAGAATTTAGTGGAGGCTGAAGCTATGCGGAAGGTCACAATGGACTTGGGGCTTTCTCTATAAACCACATTGTTGCTATTGTTAGGTGCCATCTAGTTGCTTCCCGTTCATTGTGACCCAGTGACCATACATACAGTAGACGGAAACATCACCAGGTCCTGTGTCATCCTCACAACTGTCCTTATACTTAAGCCCAATCCATCTCATTGAGGGCTCTGGTAGTTACATAATCTGGTGTCAATTTGAGAGGATTACAAATGAAGGGGTGGAGTCCGGCCTGTCAATCAAGATATAACCAATGAGGCCTCTGTGTGGGCATGGCCTTCTCCTGAGATGTCTGGGAACTCCTGTATTTCCTTTCTTGGAGGAGGGAGATATTGCTCTCTCTGCTGACTCCCTGAGAGACATCCCTGAGGAGAAGCCACATGGACCTACCCTGATGCATCCCTGGAAGATGGAGAAGCCATGTGAAGACCTCTGACAGTGCTGAGATGCTTACAATACCATTGGATCCAAAGACCTTCTACCCACTGGCCTGTGATCGTCCTGCATTCGGTGTCATTGCATGTGTTTCGTGAGTCTGAAGAGGACTTTATAGATTGGTATCAGACATATGGGCTAATATTGGGACTTATGATTTTAGATTGGACTGGACTGGGTTGGGATTCTTTCTTAATGGACAATTACCCTTTATATACAACTCTCTCTTATACACATATGCGTGTTTATGAATTTGTTTCTCTAGTTGATCCGACCTAACACAAGAGCCTTCCTCTCTTTCAGTGCCCCTCCACTTTACCAAGCACGATGTCCTTCTCCAGGGACTGGTCTCTCCTGACATGTCCAAAGAACATGAGATGGCGTCTCGCCATGCTTACTTCTAAAGAGCATTCTGGCTGTACTTCTGCCACGACAAATCTGTTTGTCCTTTTGGCAGTCTCTGACCCACACCTTTTTCAATTTTAACCCATTCAGTATCCCCTTATTCAAATTGCACAACTGCCTCTTGATCTATGTACAGGTTCCACATGAGCACAATTAAGTGTTCTAGATTTTCTATTCTTCTCAGGACTACTCATTGTTTGTTATGATCCACAGTTGAATGTCTTTGGATAGTCAATGAAGCTAAAGTAAACATCTTTCTGGTATTCTCTGCTTTCAGCCAAGATCTGTCTGACATCAACATGATATCCCTTGTTTAACCTCTTCTGAATCCGGCCTGAACTTTTGAGAGCTCCCTGTCAATGTATTGCTGCAACCAGTGTTGGATGATCTTCAGCAAAATTTTACATGCATGCGATGTCAATGGTATTGTTCTATAATTTGAGAATTCTATTGGGTCACTTTTCTGTGGAATGGGTACAATTAGGGATCTCTTCCAGTCGGTTGGCCACATAGCTGTCTTCCAAGTTTCCTGGCACAGATGAGTGTGTGCATCTAGTGTGTCATTAGCTTGTTGAAACATTTCAAATGGTATTCCTTCGATTCCTGAAAACTTATTTTTGACTAATGCTTTCAGTGCAGCTTGGACTTCTCCCTCCGGTACCATTGGTTCTTGCTCACGTGCTAGTCTTTACGTATTCTGGCACCTATGCATTCTTTCCTGACAACATGTCTTGAGGCCTCCCTGTGTCATTCAATATTTTTCCACAGAATCTTTTAATGTTGCAACTTGAGGTTTGAATTTCTCCTGTAAATCACAGCTTTCCACAACCTGTTGCCGCTGTTAGGGGCCATGCAATTGGTTCTGACTCAGCGACTCCATGTACCACAGAACACTGCCCCGTCCAGCGCCTTCCTCTCAGCTGTTCTCAAGTGTGAGCCCATCCTCGCAGCCATTCTGTCAAACCATCTTATCAAGGGCCTTCCTCTCTTCCACTGCCCCTCTACTTTACCAAGCATGACGTCATTTTCCAGGGACAGGTCTCTCCAGATGGCATATCTAAAGGACGTGAGACGGCATCTTGCCATCCTTGTCTCTAAAGAGTATTCTGGCTGTACAGTGAACCCTCGTTTATCGCGGTTAATCGGTTCTAGACCCTACCGTGATAAATGAAATTCCGCGAAGTAGGATTCCTTATTTGTAAATCAAATATTTTCGTAGTTAGAGCATAGAGGACATGAAAAAACACCCTTTAGTCACCATTACACTCGTATTACCCAATTTATTAAACGAAAAAGGGAAAATACAGTAAAACATTTTGGACGTTACAATTATCATTTATTATTTATTATATTATTTATGGCATCTAGTTTACAGTATTATGACTTGTCACGATGCGCTTTGCTTCCTTGTTGAAAGTGAAAGTAGCTGTAGCATGGATGTTTTTTTCCTCTTTACGGATGGAGCGAACGGAAGACTCATTCAAGTCGAAATGGCGTGCAACCGCCACGATTTTCTTGCCATCTTTGATCATATCCAAAAGTTTTACCTTTTCCTGGATGGTGAGCATCTTCCTCTGGCGCTTATTTTTATTGTCAGAAGGCTTAGAAGAAGCAGCTCGTTTAGGAGCCATCATAGGGCTTAGATAAAATTTCTTAAAAATCGCAAACAATTACAGTACACTGTACAAAAGCAAAAATGCATCTGATACGTAGCTCCGATACATAGCGATGCAGACAAAAGCGTGTACAGTATGAGCCAATCAGTGGCAGTAATGACAGAGCATGCGCTGTTACGCAAAAACCGGGATAGAGTGAAGCCGCGGAAGTCGAAGCGCGAAGTGAGGGTTCACTGTACTTCTACCAAGAGAGATTTGTTTGTTCTTTTGGCAGTCCAGGGTACTTTCAATATTCTACGCCAGCACCAGACACTGAGTGCTCGGAATTTAAGCGCTAATACACCATGAACATTTTGGAGCCACCTCAGGTAATCCCCAAACCCTGAACCACTGTGGTCCTTGTTAACATGGTGCTGAAATCTGCCTGGCATTGTTCTACTCCGTTCGTCTTAGGTCTCTCCAAGAGCTACTGGTAGCTCCATAGTGTGTGAGTACCCTCCAGGAAATCTACCAGTCCTATAGCTCCCATTTGACAGAGGAAGAAGCCAAGGCAGGGAGGGGACACTCAGATAGCAAGTAAAGGCAGATTTCTTCCCCCCCCCCCCTCTCCCCAGAAGTTCCTGGGACTCCAAAGCCTGTGCTCCCAAGTCTGTCTCCGAAATCTCTCAGGAGACACACTCCCCCACCTCCCTTTGTGACCATAGACCCTGACTCAATACCCTCTCTTTCCTTCTTTGGCTGTTCAGCTTGAGATGGGGTGTCGGGTGCCCTCTCCAGTCCAATCACCCTCTTTTGTTAGTCAGAACCCCAGAAGCAAATAGAGAAGAACTGCCCTTTTCCTCATTGTACCCCCACAGGTAAGTCTGTGGCTTCCTGCTGAGTCCTAGGGGGATTAAAGCTGTGCCACAGGTAGATCTGCTAAGCTGGCAGGGGCCGATTTTATCATGTGCTTTGTCCATACTCTGTGTTGTCTGAGGATTTGTCTCAAGGAACTTGGCAAGACCCAAGGGAAGTGACATCGGAGATGTTTGTGGCTCTTCCCAGGGGGGGGATTCTGGCTCACCTGTTAGCTCCCCAAAGACAGGCTGCTTAGACACAGGCATCTGTGGATACCATTAACATCCACTTGTAGCAGAGTCATGAACTAGGCAGCCTGGGGGAAATGCTACTTAAACTGTACCCCACACCACCCAGGATCTCTGGGATGATTGGGATCAGAGCTTCCTCCTCAGACGTTCCAGCTGTTCCAGGCACTCCACTGGAGAAAGGTTGCAAGAGGCTGCCTGAAGAGAAGGGGCTTCAACCTGGCGCCACTCCCAAGACAGCCTCTTTTAAAAAGTTCCTGGGCGTTAAGGTTTTTATCTACAAAAGGACTTAATTCCTCATCTAGTAAAACAACAAAAAACGAAGCCAAGCTTGAGTGAGACGCAGGAATGGGCTAAGATCTGCTCATTGCTCTCCAAACTCTGCTACCGGGCAGCGCTGGGCAGGTCCCCGAGTCTGCAGGGCTCAGGGCCTGCGGTTCAGAAAGGGACCGGTTAGAAGCACTGTCTGGTTCCGTCCCCTCCAGCGCTGACCTGGGCGGCTGTTGGCGCAGAGTGGGAAGGGGAAGCGAAGAACTGCACAGGCAGTTTGGCAACCTTCTTGTTCAGAGCCACCCCCGCCCTTCTTTCAGGCCAGATCCGGGGCAGGAGTATCCAGGTGGAAAGCAGAGAGCCTACGGTCCCCAGCCTACCTCGCCACCAACTCCGTGTACTACTGGGGAACCAATTTGCGCCCTGAGCCTCAGTTTCCCCCTTCATGCAAATAATGGCTGGGGTTGTGATCACCCGAGGCCTCACAGCTCCCACGTTCAGAAGGCTGGCTCCTCTAGGGTAAAACTCCTTTCGCGTGGGATCTTCCCG